TAGAAAAGGAGAGAGAGGGCAACCCTGTCGAACACCACTTTCTGTGATGAACTCGGGTGAAAAAGTGCCGTGAGCTCGAACTCGGCTATTATGTAGAGGGATTGTAATATTGAAATAAACTTCTCGGGCACTCCCTTCAGGGAAAGGCAGCGCCAGAGTTTAGAGCGGNTGCCACCCGGAAGTAAATCGATACCACTATCCCTGCACGAGGATAGGGCTGTTTCAAGAATTATATCTATGAAAAAGTTAAATAGAAAAGGAGAGAGAGGGCAACCCTGTCGAACACCACTTTCTGTGATGAACTCGGGTGAAAATGTGCCGTAAGCTCGGACTCGGCTTCGGCTAAGGGTAAAGAGGGATCGTAATGTCGAATTAAACTTCTCGGGCACACCCTTCGAGGAAAGACAGCGCCAGTTTAGAGCGGTCGACGGAGCCGAAAGCCGCTTCCAGATCAAGGAAGACAGAGATGGTGGGTCCACGAAAAGAATATCCGTACTAAAGAGTTTCGCGAAGAGTGAAGATGTGGTCCATACAGCCTCGACTAGGTCTAAAACCAGCCTGGTTCTCAAGCGCGTGCACTCTTCACGTGCGGCAGACAACCGACGGAGTATCATCCCAGCGAGAAGTTTAGAAGCAATGTTGATTAGGCTAATTCCTCTGCGGTTTTCACAGGAGGATCTTTCAACTTCCTTAAAAATCGGTATGATCACCGATTCACACCATTCAGCTGGAACATGTTCCCCGTCCCAGGAGGCCTTATGACTTTTGAGATACCTTATTTCCCGGGAAACCTCCATTTCAGATGGAGGACTGGAATTGACTCGCAGTATTTGGGCAGTTGCGATGGAGGGCGATCTTTCAGAAGTCGATGAGGGCCAGCTGAACTGAGCCTCGAAATGTTCAGCCCTTCGATCAAGATGGCGTTGCTGATCATGAATCAGTGTGCCATCGAAATCCTTAATTACCTCACGCATATTTTCCTGGGGTCCTATTTCTAATTAGATAGAAAAGATTGCGGCTATTGGAAATAGCCGCAACTTTCTCCATTTCTCTACACTTTCTTATCCACCACTTCTCGCGGTCATTCCTCAAACTCTTGATGACCTGGCATTCGAGGGATTCGCGCACTGTGTCATATGCGGCATTGGGAGGAAGGGTTCTGTGGGCGTCCAGCAGGGCAACCGAGGTCGATGAGATCCATCGTTTATGTTTTGAGGGTCTGATAATGCTTTTATTGATATTTGCATAGCTTCCTTGATTTGTTTCCAGTGTTCATTGAGTCCTTTGGCTGGTGGTTGAAATGACAGGCGATCGGAGAGTTCCGCTTCGAAAGCTGATTTGCAACAATCGCCGACGTTGTATCGTGGGTATCCGATGTCGTTGGCTTTTTACGGTTGTTCGCCAGGGGTAAGGAAAATTTGCTCGCAGCAAATTGTGGGCCGTATCCACATGTTTTGACCAGTAAGA